TATACTAACTTACTTCTCTCTCTCTCTCTCTCTCTCTCTCTCTCCCCCCCCTTGTTCCAAAAAAATGGAAGAGGAAAAAATTTATCTCCCACTCCTGGCGAGAAATTTCAACGATCTTTATTACGTATTATAATATATCTCTTTTTTACGGTATAGGCAAGTCGATGAAAACTTCTTATCTATAATTCATACGATATAATTCGAACGAATAAACTGTACCTCTTTTACAAAAAAAACCTCTTTTTCGAAAAAAATCGAAGCAGTTTCTCGCGGGCGGATCCGCGTAAATCCGCGGTGGACGACAAAGAGAGAGGCGCGAGGAGAGGCTCGTTCCACGAGGCGAGGCACGCGAGGAGAGATACAGGGCGCATAAAGCCGTGCGCAGGTAGCGTATCAAGCCGTATCGTCGGTCGGTTCCAGTTTCACGTGAAAACTGTTGGTTGCAACCGGCCAGGTTCAAGGCGAACGCCTGAAAACGTGTGCGCATACTACGTGTGCGCAACTCGCCTTCGCGTCTCCCTCGTTACAATCGTCTCGAAACTTTGCACCATTTCCCTCGACCGACGCGAGGCCTACCCTTTTTTACTCGAACGGATGGTGTTCACGTAATTCGAGATCATCGAAAATTGATCGATCCGAAAAGTATGCGAATGTAAAAGAGAAAGAATTATAAACGTGGTTTGAATGCGAGGGAGGGATCCAATCTAATTCGCGTGGCAGGCCGGCTATCGGACGCATCAAGCTTTTCCACGCACTCGATTAACCCAGCCGCGCTCAATCATTCACGCGGTAGCGTCTTCCGTCCCTTCCAATTACTTTCAAAGCCGAGGAGCCGGCCCCAGGAAGCGGATAAACCTAATCCCGGTTCAGGTGTGTATGCGCGTGCACACACGTGGCCGAGGTGTTGAGCAGCGGGTAAAGAGAATGGAGGAGGAGGAGGAGGAGGAACGTATAGAAGAAGGTGACGAGGTGACAATGAGCAAGAATGGGAAGAGGCCTTCACGGCTTAGCTAGGAACAGGTGTTGTGTCGAGGCGGACAGGTGAAATTTGGCAAATTGTTCGTTTTGGCTCGCCGTCGAATTCAACCGTTCTAATCGTGATTTTCCGCGTCCCTCCTTCCAATTTCTTCGTGTTCTTCCTTCTTTCTTTTTTTTTTTTTCTTTTTTTTCCAATTTGCGCGAGACAACTTGTTCGCGTATATTTTATATAATTTATTTACGTTCGAATTTCGTT